GTACGATATTTTTTTATATACTTGACGTAAACATTTTTCTTTTTTTTAAAAAGAGTTTTTGTTAGATTATTTATAATAAAACGCAATGTGATAATAACAAAATATAATTATAACAAGTTTAACATATAAAACGGATCTGTCTTTATAACATTTTTGATTATTGTATGTCACATCTAATATGATATTCCTTATTTCATAAAAAAATAATAATAATACATAATAACATACGTAATATATTTAGAATCTATCAAGAGTACAAATAGTTTTAGTTCGTATAAGAGCGTGATTATTTTATCGTGGCTCGATAATAAAGTGTACATCACCCTTCATCGAAAGAATAACGAAAGATCTTTCGTCGAAAATAGGCGGAACCTGAGTTCGGGAGTGGAGTTTGAAATTGTATTTTGACAAAAGACTTACCAGTCCAATTTTTGTTTGTAAGTAGCCAAATTGCGTACCTGAAAATTAACGATTCTAATGTATGATATACTTGCAAAACATTTTTATAATGACTTATTCTAATGGTAAGCTTTAAATATTTTTTGTATAAAAACAAAATAAAATTATGCAACACAAAGTTAACAACTTATTAATTAAATATTTTGAAAAAAAAAGAAGAGAGACAAAGAGAGAAATGATGCTTAAAATAACACTTGTAAATTAAATGTAATTTGTTAAATAAAACATTTCTCTTCTCAAAATTTCTTGATAAAACCTTTATGCCATTATTGTAATAGTAATAGCAATAAATAAAAACAATTGTTGTTATAATAACAACAAAAGAAATATTTTAAACGATTATATATTTGTACTTAATCTTATTATTATTAATATTCTTATTATATTTATTATTTAATTAAGAAATATAAAATTGTTTATTGGGATAGACAAAATATTTTTTAAGTCTGACTGCAACAAATTTTAACGTGCATTAAAATTGTCAATGTTACTTTAAGTGTAATTATTATAAAAAATGGGCGTAAAAATGATAAGAGACAATAAAATTTTAATTAATAGTTTAATACAAGCCTCAGAGTCCATCTAACAATCAAACGGAGAGCATATCCTACAAGTAAAATTAACAAAAAAGTATTATATGAAGTATGGCTACAAATTCCTCGTAAGATCATAAATAAATATTAAAACGGAGCATGAAGTAAGAAACAACGAATTTTACATTGCGTAGAATATAAAAGTGTACCTTTCGTGTATGGAAACGTGTTTAATTATTTTTTTTATTTCTGCATTATATTTACTAATCTTTATACGATTCTGAATCATTTTGATGTGCATTTTGCAAAACATTTATGATCAAACTTTATGCAATATTTTTTTCTTATTTTCACTTCTAGAATATACTTCCGCAGTTTAACCGTTCAATCCTGAGACATTCTGTATAAATGGAATGCATTAATGGTCTAATTCATGTCCCTACCAACGCAGTTTCGTGGGCCTTCCCCGAATGGCAAATAAGCATAAGGATGCCTTTCTGCTACTTTGTCTGTGTTAAATCGTTCAGGATCAAATTTATCTGGATCTGGATATATTGATGGATCTCGATGCAGTCCAAGTACCGGTATGGTTATTAATGTTCCCTTTGGCAAGTGAATGTTCGTCGGTAAAACTATTTCTTTAGTACAAATGCGATTAAGTATTGGAAAAGGTGGGTATTTTCTCAAAGTTTCTGCAATATGTAAAGAAAAACATATAAAGATACATCTATTCTAATATACAATCAGTTTATTTAATTCTCCGTCGGCAAATTGAGTCTTTTACAGCACTGCAATCGATTATTTAGTCCTGAATTTTAAGAGAATGTATAGAGAGAATATAAAATTAACTCATTTTTTCCATTATAGACGTCAGATTGCATTTTACTAATTTTTTTATAGATTTAAATGTAAAAGTTTCAACGTGCTAAGAAATTCATAAATATATTATATAAGAGTAGTTTATTATATAAATTTATTATATATAAGAATAAAAAAATATTCTTTTAAGTTATAATATTTAACAGACTGAATTGTCTTTTAAAAAAGGATATATAAAAAAATTATATAAAAAAATTTGCATAAAATCTCCTTTTTTCACTCATGTCACAATTTAAAAAAATTTTCTTTCAAAAACTTTCAAAAATTTTGGAAAATTATTTTTAAAAAATTTTATTGACGTAAATGAATACGATTCTGTCGTAAAACTTTTGTATAAAACATTTTTTAGTTTTTTTTTCTTTTCTTTGAAAATCTTTACACAAGTATATATATATTGTATATATATATATATAT